CACTGACTCGCACTTTTGGTGGAGATGCAGAAAATGGAGACAGGACTTGAAATATGTTGGTGGGTCCACAGTAGATCAGTTCGAGCGGTTTGGCTTCAAGCATGAAACCAAGGAATTCTTGATCTGGCCCGGTACAAATATTGAAGTCGCTTGTCACCAAAAATCAGCCGGTTGTCAACATACCGGATGTGACGGATCAACATTTTGGTAGTTTCGAACCTAGCCTTGGTATTTGACCCAAAGCGTGGATGATGTAAAGCTCAAGACGGTTTTGGAACCGTTCGGAGGAAAGGATATCTTTGACGACTTGAGGTGTGAATTTGTGTTTCCAGGGTGTAGCAAGCCAAACTTGGGCATTGGTGTTCATGGCAGATTTCTTCAAAGGCCCTTTCCGGGGATGGGAAAATTGACAAACAAACAGGTAGTTCAATCGAGGTTGCCACTCTTGGATGCGCGCAAGTTCGAGGCATCGATATTCAGCACGACAGACAAAAAGAGGGATTGGGGCCCAGATGCGCGGGTTCTGATGTTCACGCTAGTACCGAAGGGCCAGTTCAGCTTGCACCAACTTGCCGTTGCTGAGTTGAAAATTTTTTTTGGAACGACTGCACCCCCGGCCCAAGACATGGTGTATGGCAGACCAATATAAAATGTGGGTTGCGTGTTGGTGAAATGGGTGAATCGGATTTATACACAGTTTGGAAGGAAAAAATCCTTCGAAAACAGATAGCGGGATGTCAGTGACAAACCCCACAAGTGGTCAAGATTGGCACATCCTTCCAAAATTGCCTTAAGCTTGGGATTGGGCCCAAGGCCATGGATGATGGACAACACCATCAAACGGGTTTGCGTGATGCGAAAACTCTTGAAAAAGAGCGATGGCGGATGACATGGCGAAAGGAGTCCCAAAATGTAAAGCACCAAGATCATCGCGTTGATAAGGTGAAGGTAGGATTGAAAGACTTTGTGCTTGAGTTTCTTCCAGAAAAGCGAAGCTAGTCAATTTGTCATAGTGATCGCCACCGTCAAAGCCTTGATGAGATTCGTGGCGTTGAAGTTCTTCTGTAGCTGACAGACAGGAATGCCCATCATCACTGCAACCTTTTGGATGGTTTCCACGGCATCGGCAGGTTGATTTGACCACTATGCATCGGCTTTGGCAATGTTAGAGACGAGAACATCACGCTGGGCGTCAGAGACAGGGAGATCTTTGAGCCACTTGGCAAAAGTACGATCGGCAAGGCCTCATGGCAAATCGTCGGTCAACCAAGTGTTGGAAAGACGTGGAATGGTTCGAAGGCAAGCTGGATCGAAAGCAGGAGCTGGTGAAGGAGCACCGGAACCCATCAGAGCACGTTGGATGGTTGTGGCTTGAGAAGGGGAGCTTTGTTGACCCATACGAGGTGGGTTGATAAATTTGAGGGTTCGTCTCCGAAAAATTCAGCCAACTGACTTCTGAGTTGTGTGATTTGGTGCTGGGAGCCTGGGTCGGTAGAACGAAGTGGAAGCCATCCCTGAATGTGCTCGGCGATGATCTGTGCTGCATATTTGGTGTTCGAAGTTTTGTCCAATGTCTTCCCATCCTGTCTTGCCCTGACCTGGGAGACACGGTCAAGGTCGATCCCTCTATTCCTCAACTGAGAAAAGAATTTCGTCGCAAACACCACGGCCGCAATATCCCCCGTAGGGATGAGGCACAGCTCTTGCCAATGGGCCAATTTTCGATGAGGTACAGCTCTTGCCAATGGGCCAATTTTCGAAGCCAATGATTGTTGGCTTGTTGGTAGGGGAGAAAGTGAAATCTCCGGCACTGACTGCAATCGTCCACCATGTCATACATCCCCGATGCTAACACAGAAGGAATCCTGATGTAGATTGTCAAAACAAACTTGTTGTTGGAAATTGACACCTGGTCCCATGGGTGCCGACGTCAGTGACATCGTCTGTCTCAAAGATGCCACAGGGCTTTGTTCCAGAAATTCAAAGTGTTGAAGTAAGGACAAAGGAGGCATGGTCAGTGGATACAACGCAAGGAGAATAAATAAGGATCAATGAAATGTATCAATCGTGGGGGAAAAGGTGAAAACTCAAGCACTGATGGCACTGATTCACAATGTCGTACGTCCCTGATGCCGACTCAAAATAGATCCTAATGCAGGTTCTCAAATCACAACAAACTTGCTGTTGGCGGTGAACATCTGGTGCCATGGGTGCCCAAGGTATTGTCATCGGATGTCCCGAAGATTCCAATTGTCGTATCATCACGCGTGACATAGAGCTTGCCGGTAAGGGTTGAAGCCAGGAGTGAGGAGAAATGGACAGTGGAAACTAGGCCAGGAGTAGGGATTGATGGAGTGGAATGTGGTTGACTTCCAGGTGGAACTGGATCTGTAGGCAGGGGACGACTTCGTCTCATAGGATCGCTGTCCTCCTTGAATCGTTCTTGAAGTCGATGTTCCATTGCTGCCAAATCAAATGTAGATGCCAAAGGTCTTGTTGACGATGTAAGTTCCGGTGTTGGTGTTGGTGGAACAGGCTGTGCTGACGGAAGAGGTGATTGAGGAGGCAAGGTTGGAGAAATGGGCATGGCAGTTGGACTTGAAAGGTTGGATGTAGCTTGATGTGCCAACTGTTGACTCAGCATAGCGTTTTTTTGGTTGTAACAAGTTAATCAATCTGAGCTTGTGGCTGAGCCCGCTGCTGAGCTTGTTGAACTTGTTGCTGCATGCGCGGGTCAATCTGAGCTTGGGACTGAGCTTGGTGCTGAGCTTGTTGTACTTGTTGATGCATATTGGGATCACATCCACTGAAAAAAACTCACATGCCAGGAAGAGGAAGACCCACGCTTGCCCTTGGACCCAACATTGATTGAGCACCAAGATCCATCGTGGGTGACAATGACGTAGCCCAGGATCGTGGATTGCAAGAAAACGGAAACATGGCGACTAGCAAGGGAGCAAGGACAGGGAATCTAAGTCAACAGTTCAAACAACTTTGATGCATCCATCATCCTATGCAAGGACCGTGATCAGGCTCAAGGCCCTCTGTATTCAAGTCAAGCCTATATACGGCAGTCAGTAGTCCCCAGCTGAGTTTAGGTGCACATTTGAACCTCACCAACGACCAAAAAAAGAAAAAGTCACCATGCCTGAAGGCATGTACCTGCCTGAGGTCGTCAACATGTTGCCATGAGCAACGTTGAAAAAAGAAGGCTGTTTACACGGCTGACAAAAGGAATTGAAGCCCGGTACTGCGCCCAGCTGTTCAACCAGCGACAAACGACAGGCTGAAAAGCGAAAGAAAGCGAAGCCCCGTACTGCGGCCAGTTGTTCAACCAACGACACATGACAGGGTCAAAAGTGAAAACAACCCAACTGTTCCACTTTACCTAGACGAATTACCAAGTTGAAAATTGTAAATTCAGAGTCAGATCGGCGGTTCCCATTTCCTACCTAGAAAGGTATTGAAGGGCTCATATTATCCTGTCGAACCCGACGTGAGTCACACACTTGCTCAGACTTGTCTTATCGAATTGTGATGTGGATTGCGCCGGACGTGCAAAACACAATCCAGTAAATCCTGATCAGAGAAGAAATTGGAGTTGGGAGCTGACCCCTCCCTTTCGAGGTCCAAATAGATGCCAAATAAGCTGTCGGTGGTACCATCGCCATAGCCAGTGTAAGTTGCCCAAGTGAAGGTTGATTTCAGGTATCAGAAAATAAATTGGACATGAAGTTTACCGCAGTCTCAGATTGCGCCAACTGTGCAAGAATGAAAAACAAGTTTGAAACCTCTGTGAAATGTTTGTTGAAAAACGGCGGCGAGGTGGTTCTTGGGTTAGCCGCTGCCCATCACAGAAATTTGCATGAAAATTGAAGCAGGTACGTCGATCCAGCATCCCGGATCGATATCACAGAATGTCACAGAACTATGACATTCCCTGCAGCCCCCTGCAGCCGTGATTGAAAACTGACATAGCATCATAGTAAGCGAAGCAAGCACATGGGGAGAAGGTAGCCCTGTAGAAGTTTTATGTCTATTCAGACGGTACACACACACACACAACATCGTGACACGCAAAGAACTCTTTCACAGACAACTCAGTCGCACACACACGACTGATCTCTGTCATGCCTATACGCATATCTGAAATTCATACGCATGTTTGACACATCTTCTTTACCGATCCGTCTTCTACTTTCGCATTCTTTTTTCCTCTTCTCGTTTGCATTTTTCCCACCTATTCGGCACTTGCTGGAAAGTGTTGACATGTGGGATGCTGTCTGACGTAAATTGCAAAATCAAAGTAATCAGATGTAATGAGATGTTATTAGTCTATCTTCGGAAAACTGGTGGCATTTTATCTGACATGTAGTCTGACACAGGTTCGGGCCAGGGGCGCCGCAAGCCGTACCCGGGATCCGTATAGGGTCCCAGTCTGGGGGCTTGCCATGGGCTTTGGTATATGGTGAAACGCGGTGACATGACATGGCAGCGAAGCACGAGATGGAAAGAGCAGGATGCAAAGGATAAGGAGGACAGGAGAACGAAGAGGAGGAGGGAGGACAACCTGGCATGATATCATCATGATATCTAGATATATCTAGAGAGGTTGTGAAAGAGCCTGCCCAGTCTTCTCGCATAATGCACGCCACCTCCATACCTCGCATAGATACCATGGACTGCTACTCCCGGGCACCTTTGTGAACTGCAATTACTTGAGCATACTACTCTTCCTATACTCTTACAGCACCTTTGTTGCAGTTTTTGACTCGCAGACCCGCATGTGCAGAGTTGTGATCCGCTTGGGTCAGTCTCCCTCTGTGCAAAGGGCATATGCATCCAAACTTGCATCATACGTGGATTTGTATCAATACAGTTCAATACAGTGGTGCAAATACAACGTCGCACTAGAAACAAAGCCCCTAACAGCTTTGCAAAGGTGGAAGCGTTAAACCGAGTTAAACCTGATCGTGCTTGCAGTGGTGAATCCAAGTGTCCAAAAAGATTGCTCGGGTCTTCTCGCTGATAAAACCGTTCTGCTTCATGGCTAGGAACTTGTCGTTCGTTTTTGGATAATCTGGGGTCAACATCTCCATGTAGCCTCCCGGAGGGTAGGAAGCAAGCCACCCTTCATAGTTCTCGCCATTCCTGCTCAACAATATTTCACGTGTTTCTCTCAAGCATTACCCGTTGAAATCAGCAAAACAGTCTGGACTGGATATCAAAATTATCAAACAGTCTGGACTGAACTCTTTTTGAACTGCATGTGACCTGGAAGACTTCAGTACCGGTCGCATTGAATCAGAATGAAACAGAATGAAACAAACCAAGCGACGCTTCTGCTGAAAACTGATAGGTTGGAACGCCCTCGTCGTTGGGAGGTCCAAATGGTTCTCGATCAACAGCATCGAGATTGAATGGACCATAGCAAGTTGGAAAATAACTCCGGTATTGCTCTCCAACCCTGCCTGGCCGAGAACTTCTGCCACAAAAATGCCGGAAAACGTTGTTCTGGTGAATCCCCAAAAGAATGTTGCTGTGTTCAGTAACGCGGGGGTCTGCGCACCGAATCTTTTTGCTTGGCCTTCCCCAGGAGACTTTCGACTCTAGTCAGCTGGCACCCGCTCCCTTTTCCGGGCAGAAACTGAGTTGGGGCTGAAGTTTCAATCTATGCATGTTGAAATGGTGCACACACTAGACAAGAGTGGATCTCTTAAGCGATCCGTCGGGAACTGAATCCCCTAACGTGCAATTAGATTAGTTACATGTATGATATATATATATATATATGGATGGGACTGTGGTGGCCACCAGCTGCGACTTATATGCGCCCAGGTGCGCCACCATAGTCCCACAGGTACGTTTGCACGGGTCCCGGGGATGTGTCTTCATTGGTCACCGACCCCCCCGACCCCGGTGACCCCCTGCTTTACATTAAAAAAAAAACAATATAATATAAAATAAAATAATATAATATAATATGATGAAACGGCAAAGTTTTACGTCTGTTCAGACGTTACAAACACACACAGGGTCAGTGAAATCAGGTCGTGCGTTTCTTGTTAGGAATGGTCCGCAGGCCGCGTTTTTTTCATCTACTTTCAAAAGCAGATAAAGGAGAGAAATAGAGAGAGCATGAGAGAGCCCTAGAGAGACCCATGTCGGTACAAAGCACAAGGACAAAACGAAATAAAACGAATTTGAGGGACCGTCATGCAAGACTTGCATTTTCCGAGAGCAGAGTTTGGAACAGTTTTAGCATGTTCTTGTTTTTACTTTGACTAATTATATAGTAGTGCAAGCCTAGTGCAAGCTGCTAACATTCTTCTCCACAATCGTGCAATTTTGCTGCATCCTACTGTGTGATCATTGTTGCAACTTGGGTTCAGGCTCGTGATGATTCGTGGCCCGTGGCCCGACTGAGTACTACGGTGTTTGTTTGGACTGTTTGTTGCCTCAGCCCTTAGAGGTGCCAATTCTCTCGCACTCAAGCTATTCAAAAACTTCAAGTCCTCACTAATTAGTCTTCACTCCTATGCTGCGTTGAGATTGAGCCTGTCTTGCGTCCTGCGCGGTGTCATTTCTAACTCGCATATAATTACCTTTGCACTCATTTTGGGTGGAATGGCCACTCAATGAAAACAGGTGGCAATATTTTATCTGCTGCAGTTCTGGTCAGAAGACCACGGGCGATAAGATGCAAGCAAGGCACAATCCGAATCCGGCAGAATGTTGAGAATGCGCATCCTGCCCATGCCGTACATGTAGTTTGGGCCAAGCACCTCCCAGGTTGCGGTTTTTTGGGGTCGGAGAGAGCTGATATATATCATATACATATCTATCGTTTTTTAAGATCATGGTAATTTAGATCAGGGGAAGTGGCTGACTCTGGAAATTTGGATTACCGGTCCAGTGCCGCCTGAAGCCAAGTTGGCACCACAGCTCCTGGAAAGAAGTATCTTGCGGTGTCTTCACCATAAATTGCTGGCTTGAATGATTCCTCAGGCAATCAATTGCAATGCAAGTCAATTCATCTCTGTGACTTGCAATACCAGCTGATAACTGTCAGTGTTCGACTGACCGAACTCTAGCGAATGTGTTCACAGTGCGAGTGAAAGAAGGAAACTGCCCACAGGCCCAGACAACACTGGAGCAGGGCACAAATTTTCGTCAGACCACTGTCATTCAAATGCCAACAAATATTTTGATCAATGCATGGTGTTCCCAAGGTTCGTTGAAATATCTCCAGAAGCCATCCACGGACTGAACCTCCTCCAATCGAACTGGTGAAGCTTCATCGAAACGTTTCCGCAGGAAACCTTCAAAAGCTCTCATTTTGTTGCGCGGCTCACTGAGTGCTAGCGAGGTAAAGAGCAGTAGGAAGCAAACGAACAGAATGGTGTTGAAGGCCGACCTCGTCAGCACCACATATTTTTCAGCATGGGTGGGCCATGCTGGATAAAATTCCTGAGAGTTCATAGCTAGTCACTCGTTCGGCATTCAATTCATCTTGCAATATGTCTTCATCTTCGCAGAATGCAGAATCATTGCAGATAAAGAAAGTCACGAGTCATTTGAGTCACTTGAGTCATTTGAGTCATTTGAGTCATTGCATGTCACATGACTTGCACATGACTTGCTGTGGCACCTCAGCAAGGCCTTGATGCCACTCTTCTGTTGTAGCAACTCGTTGACGCGTTTCTCATCGACTAAAATCGCGAGGCCACCAGTGGCCGCCATGGCCGTGGCCTACGTGGCCCACGTGGTCGTGGCCGCGGTCGTGCCTCACACCTTCCAAATCTTGGGCCAAAACATGCCATAACACAGATTTGGGCAAAATAAATATGGCAGAACATGGCAGAATATGGCATCTAGATGCATCTAGATACGATACAATGTTACAAGGTGAAAATCAAAACGGTCACGGTACGAGTACTGAGCCCGATTTTGATTCTTTTGAAGTCCCAGTGTGACACAAGAAGTCAGAATTGGTATGAATCGGCATGAAGAACTTCCATGTAGGAAGATGACGGAAGTAGATACCACCTCTGTATGCGCAGTGCCAGGATGGTTGCAGCTCCTTCTTGGTACCATCTGTCTCCGTCATGATGCCGTGCCCATGCATTTCGCCAAGAGCAAATTCACCCTGCAGTCCAAAATCGAGCACAGAGCCTTTCCAAGAAAAGATTACAGAAATCATATGAAATCATATTATGAAATCATCAGACCTGACGTTGCCCTTGGCTTGCCAACTGCTTCCCATACCCCACTAGCACCAATTCATACCAATTCATTGCATGTATATTTTGTTCCTTCTACATCCAATTACGATTTTGTTGGAAAACTTAGTTGCAGAACTTATAGTTGCACACTGCACCGACTACGGCGACCAGCCAAAAGATAAAGTGGCATGCCTTGCGACAATATAATATGTGGGAACTGGGGAATAAGCGTTCCCCCTGGAAGAGCAGTTGCTCTTGAAGGATGTCAAGGGGCACGATCCCATATATACATATATATATAGTTATATAAATGTGTGTGTGCGTGTGCGCATATATATATATATATACATATATATGCACATAATGGAACCCTTGCTACCAAAAACATTGGACAAACTGATCCCTTGATATTGTTGAGAATACACTGCTCAACGCCTCGTGCAAAACAGGTCTCAAAAACTTGGGAATTCAGAGCTGTCGCGACCGCATTGACCTCCTAGGATCCCTGCATCATATTGCATCACTCACCGACTCAAAAACTAATCCGCTCACCGTATGTCATTCCCTCATATCACTGCATCCTGCGCCGAATGCTGTGATGTCCTTTGTGAGCAAAGAAAAGGTGGAAGTTACGGCTACGGGAATTGTGATTGGTGGATAGACTGACTAACCGGTTGACTGAATTGACTAGCTGATGTTTGCATTGACTGCTTTCTTTCATTTGATCTGAATCGACTTGCTTTTGTTTGGGTTTGGGTTGACTTGATGTACTCACTGACATAGCGAATGGTGACAACGCGCGGAGAGGCCAGAAACCAACTTTTGAAACTGGCTCAAATCATCAAAACTCCTTTAGGAAGAAGACATAAAAATGTCGGTGGTTTCAAAGACGGATTGTTTGTCGCTGCATTTGCTGGAAAGAAATGGTGAAAATGAGCGTGGCTTGTAGCAGCTAAAAGCACCTCGCTTTGATGAGAGGGCATGCAATCATTTGATACCCTCCAACAGAGACAGCAGTCAAATTAATTAATACTGACAACATGTGACAACAGTTTGATTGATGGCAAATTATCGGGGCCCCCACCCTACTCCCACTCATGTTTCTACTGACAATATTCCTCGGGTTTTTGTGGCAAATGCTTGGTTTCGAGGGAAACTGCTGTGGGACTATGGGCTACTGCTCAGCAACTGTGCCCAAGCATGGCCAAGCTGTATTGGACAGAACATCTCTTGTCACCCTGGCAATTTCCCCAGACACATGACCTACGGCCACCTGTGAGATATCAGTGAACAAATCCAGGAGCCTTCTTGCTAGCGCAAGTGGAATGATACTCTGACTTGAAAGCTTGAAAGCACTGGAGAACTATTGAGGGACACCAGATTACTTGAATTGGGCTTCCACGCACCTCGTACAAGCGTCCATCGGGCCAAGACAACCTCCCTTGGCCATGTTTTTGGCTTTTCACGTAGTTGCCTTGCGAAGAAACAGAACTGTGGAGTGTGGGACTGTTTTCCAACCATGCGGGGGCATATCATTTTTGTTGCTTCTCACCTTTCAGTTTTCTTTGGAACCAGCAGCTGTCAAGGTAGCAAGTATTTACAGTATATTACAGTATAAGCCAAATCTTGATGTGGCTACTGCTCTCTCCCAGTGGGTTTTTGAGTGCAGTCACAAATGAGTCCAAGACCACCTGGTTTTGCACGTTTTTGTCACACTTCCGTGGCCGTTTCCAGTCTCTGCGGCTGGTGTTTCCTTGCACTTTGCTTGGTCTGCACTTTGAAGGCCGATCAAACCTAACCAAGAAAACAATTGTGTATCGTGCAAACGGGTGGGCGCAGCAGCGGTACTTAAGTTGCAGCTGTGGCAGTGGCACTAGTGGCAGGAAAATGAATGTACCAAACCGGGCATGCGTTTTCATTGTTCCTTGCTTGCACGAGTTGCGAAAATAGCATACAACTCATTGAACAAAAATTGGCATCAAATGCGTGCTTCCAACCATGCTATGCTGCACGCATCTGCCACCCGCAGGCAGTTCTTCATAGTTTCCCCTGCTACACTCGCAGGATTCGCAGGCCTTCGTACTTCCTACCATCGGGGTATTCAAAAATGCCCTCACCGTCCATCTGCTGCTTCGCCTGAAGCTGGCCCAGCTTGAACTTACCGAACTCATGGAGCACAGTTTAGCTTCGGAATGAATTCTAGGGCTCTAGAATTGGCTGAGACATGCAGAGACACAATCCAGAATTTTAGAAGACACAGTGCGAAAGCCGGGAGCAGCAGTCCACTACTTGAGACGGTTGCCAACATCAAGACAGTCGGGCGTGGCACAGTCACAATTGGCACATAGTGGCTATGATTGTGGGTATGATTCGTTGTGATCGTTAGCGCAACATGGCATATTCATCTATTTAATCTATTTGCTGCCGAAAGCACCCATTGGCCCTTGTAGATGCAGCCATCTGTCCAAACGTATACACCATAGCCGTGGATGTCCTCAGCTCAAGTCCTGTGAGGACCTCTCCTTCATGATCCTGCCAAACCTTTACGACATTTTACAGTAAATCTGGTAACAGTTCAAGTTGTTCAAGCAAATGTCTGCAAGAAACCGTCTGAAATTTGGCATGGCAATGGCTTGAGCAATCCACAAAACCGACCAATGTTGTCAAAAAATATTTGGAAGTCTAATGAAGATCGGGCGCTTCCCGGCAACTCCCGAAAAGTCCACATGTGCGGCATGTATCTGACATGACTGAAAATGCGTCAGAGCTTCATTGTCCACAAATTGACCCTCAAAATACGAACCATTTGGCCAGGTGTACTTGCCTGCGTGAAGAGCGACAGCCAAGATCTGCCAAAACAGAAACAGCAACGAAAACAAAATTGCGAGACAAATGACAAATAGAGGCGTGTGCCTCACTGCAGGAAGGAGAAATAGCAGCACTTTGCCATTTTGGGAAGTCAATGAAGATCAATGTGAATGCAGTGTCAAAATGTGTCAAAGAGACGTGTCAACAAAACGCTGCGAGCACTCAGCCTTTCCCGTTCTTGCGACCCGCCAAATATTGGCCTGATGATGTATTGCTTGGGGACCAAAGTGCTGACGTCACATTCAGTGCGCAAACACTACAGTCATTTCAGGCAGGCACTGCGATTGGCACGTCTGAAAATTTATTTAATTCCAATCCCCCTGCCCAGCGTCTCTCTCCCAGTCAAATGACCAGAATAGGTAGCTCCATCTGACCATTCTTCGCTGCCGTTGCCGGATTGCAAATCATTTAGCCAGTCACCGGTATACCTGGCTTCCGTGTGTTCCCAAATAACTTACGGATGAAATTCACGACACTTTGCATTGGCAAGAAAGGAGGTCACAGAATAACCCAACATGACTTTTCACAAGACATGACAATCCGCCAGCGTGTTTTGTGGATGTTCTTGTTACAAAACTTGTGATACCATTAGTTTGATCTATAATTTCCTCTTCGACGGACTTTTGCTTTGGCTGCCCTTGGCTGCCCTTGGCTCCCCTTGCCCCCTCCTAGTCTAGTATAAACTAAACAGTATAGAATAGTATAGCATAGAATAGTATAGCATAGAATAGTATAGTATATAGTATATAGTATATAGTATATAGTATATAGTATATAGTATAAAGTATATAGTATATAGTATATGGTATATAGTATATAGTATATAGTATATAGTATACAGTATACAGTATATAGTATTTAGTATTTAGTATATAGTATATAGTAGTGAAACAGGGGGTCGAACCGGGCACCCAAAAATAGGGGAACAACCAATCCGCCAAACCCTGAAAACAAAACATCCAAGCGCACAGCTGTTTTGTGCACTTGAGCCATGTAGCGTCAATGGCGTAGAGGTTACCCCGAACCCAGGTTGTTGTTAGGGTTGGGGAAACTAATGACTACCCATTTTTAACTACGACTACCTATATACCTAACGCTTCTAGGTATATGGTGCTACTACTGTACATAAGGTGTTCAGAGTAACTACATCGGACTATTGGTTCTCATAGCTACGGCAGTGCTCTACATATGACCTACTACCTATGCTATACATAGTGGGGCTCAGGGGTCGGTATATTTCAACTCCCCCCTCGCCTGTTCCACACGTACTGCGCATTGGCAGTGACCTAAGCAACTACTGTCGCGTGAACGGACGTTCACAGCGACCTAGGCTTTGGACTTAAGGTCTAAGGGAAGGTCAGTACGTATTCCTAAAAGGATTAGTGCTGCTGCCCATTTGTGTGGAGGCAATGCCTTGGTGAATATGTCTGCCGCCTGATCATCGGTGTGGATGTACTCTATTTCGGCAGAGTCATCTCTGAAGACTTCAGACAGGCAAGACAAATTTACTTTGTGTGTTCTAGTTATATGGCGAAGCTTGGGACTATATCCTTTCTTCACAACTAGGATTGTTGCTTGGTTATCTTCGTGGACCCTAAGGGTTACGGAGCGTGCAAGCAACAGCTCCCATAACTGTAAGGCAGGCAAGCCTTCTTGATAAAGCGAATGGGCTAAACTAACAACCTCGCTTTCCGTGGTCGATCTAGAAGTGGATGTTTGGCGCTTGCTAATCCATGCAAGTGGGAAGAAGGAACTAGGGCCAGTCAAAGCCAGAAAGCGTGCAGTTGATCTGTCACCTGCGAAGTCGGCATCGACAAACAATCTGAGCTCTAGGTCTTCAGGCTTGTCCTGAATGGTACCTACTAACCTATAGTGTGGGGTTGAGGCTATGTACTGGATTAATCTTAGGACCTTCTTATCATCCCCCCTGGACCACGACTGGACCTTTGTGGCCAGATCATTGATAGGCTTGATGATATCGGGACGTGCAAGTCTACCTAACCAAAGGGCTTTCATCAAAATCTTACATGCATTTGGAGCTAGTTCCCCTTTAGTTTCATCATCCTCATTGGTGATGGATCCCTCAGGTGGAAATGGCGTGGCTGCATGCTTGAGTTTGGTGACACCAGTTATTGATTTATACAAATCTACGGTCTGTTGCACGTAGTCTGCCATATCAAAAACCATGCCAGTTTGGGATTGGAAGGCTGCACATTTGTCATGACCTTCGGTCTTGGATAGTGGGGTAACAACATGGTTGCGTCCAAGAATCCTATAGATGGGCTCTGGGGGTTCTATGTCTACCACAGAAGTTAACTTACTCCAGAATGCATCATGCTGGTCGGCGGGGCCAGCTAGAGTTAAATCGTCTACATAAGTTGACAAAAGTAACTTTGTATCTGGGAAGTAAAAATTTCCTGGGTATTCTGGAACTTCCTGCCCTCCAAGGTTCTTGATGATGACTTTCAGGTGTTGTTCCCACAGGCCTCCGGCATCAGGATGACCGTATAAGGCTTTAATTAAGAGGACTACGGGCTTAACAAACTGTTGTTTCCAATACTTAGGGCGGAGCTCCGGGGGAAGCTCAATCCAGGTTTTGTATTTGGAAGATAACAGTGCTTGAACGTAAGCTTTGACTGCATCTGCAGCCGTCGCGCGGTTGCCCGGCAGCGACCCATACGCTAAGCAGGCGTTGAGCCCTTGGACGGAGGTGGGATTAGCGCCGAGTTCTTGGTAAACGGCGGCCGCACCATGCTCGTCCTTTGCGCAGTCCCCTCTATACACGATGCGCCCCTTCATTTTATGAAGGTGGTCTGCGAGCTCGTAGAATTTAATGGACGCAATGGTCATGAGCTGACCAAAGTGCACAGACACACCCGAAGCCTTAGCTTCTTTGCGCACATCTTCCTTCTCGCGGACCGAGCCAAGATCCCAGGTGCCAGCTTTCACCAAGCCATCGGCTTCGGCACGAATGGCTTCAAGCGCCTTAGGGTTGGACAGCATCTCTGCACGAGACAAAAGCTTAGTGACCATTGCTTTGATCTCAGGCGTTGGCGCCTTTGGGTCCTCCAGGTGGAGGGCTTGCGCGATCAATTGTTCATGGTCAAGAAGTTCTGTAACTAACCTATTAGCGGTAGGGTCTGATTCAACTGCAATAGCTAAATCTTCAAAGCCAGCTAATGGGGATACGTGCTTAAGGTGTTGTTCAATTTCCCTATGGGGTTGAGGCTCGCTGGTTGCCGGTCGGCAAGGCATAGCAGGAACAGACTGCTGGGCACATTTTGAGGGAAACAAAGCTTGCGCAATTAGGTTCGTCATTTGGGGCGGATACATTGCGGAGCGAGTGGTCTCAGCTCCCTCACATCTGGAATGAGGTTGCTGGCATCGGCACCGCATATCTTGAAACGCCTCTACAATTCGGGAAGAAGTAGTCTTGAGTTTCCATGGCTTTTTGATGGGATAACCATTTCTATCGGTTAAACCTACGGTACACCCTTCAAAACCAACGGTCATAAACTGGGGATGCTTCTCAAAGAATGCTACAACGTCAGGCCTTTTCCAGCCAGAGCAAGGTCTTGGCCATTCAAACGTTACAGTACCACCATGATTGAGAACCCTTTCAGCGCGTTTAGAGAAACTCTTAAACAACCGTTTTGACTCCTTGACTTGGCGGGCAAGCTTTCTCATGAATGCGGCACCACCCTTCTTCCTATTGATATACTGCCAAGGGGATCCGGATGTGCAAGGGATAGAGGCCCACATATGTGGAGGTGCAACTTTTGCGGCTTCATCTATCTGATAGTCTAGTTGCTCACATTGTGACTCATCTCCCAGGTCTATCCTATCCTTACAAAGTCTAACATGATTAATGCCATATTCTTGGTGAGTAAAACCCATCTGGGAGTCCTCGGAACAAGCAAATTCAAACATGGTTGACTTGGCATTGGGTCTGGAAGCTTTCTTGGCAGCTTTCCGGCTCCTACGATTATCGCGGTTAGTTGGCTTACCTACAGCGGGGCAACCAAAAACAGGCAGCGACTTTTGACATAGGTCGGAACACCGATTGGCAATTTGGGGAAGAATAGCTACACCAGAAACAGAAACAGCAGGCTCAGGCGGAGCGCTGGGTTCGGCTGACCCTGGTACCTCACCTCTTATGAAAATCTCATCGAAAAGTTCTTTGTCCTCTGCGGAGAGGTGTGGGGGAATGGGGTCAGATACTTCCTCACCACGGAAAATGAAACCATGGGCTTCATCATCCTTGTCTTCTGCTTCAGTCTCGCTTTCAGGTGGTGGAGCTTTCTTTTCCCTTTCTGCTTCTTTTTCTTTTTCTACCAACATTGAGAAGCGGGCTCTACACTCATCAGTGTGCGCACGTGAATGGCCAGTGCAGCCTTTGCAACCAGGGGTCTCTTTCCATTTAAGGATACGGTCTACGGTTATATAAACAGAACGACTTTTGAGACCTGGTGTAGAGGGTGAGGCTATTCCGCCCTCCTTTGGGAAGGGCACATCCTTTAAGGCATATTCAGGCAACTTAAGATCATCTGGGTTATCCCCCCTGGTGAGAGCTTGGTGGCGTGAAAAACCTACTGGAAAAACAGGATCACCTTCTGGAACAAAGATTTCTGCTTCTGGAACCTCAACGGCTGAATTCCCACCTCTAGTGCGATACTCTTGATAATCTAGCACCCTAAGAACATTTCTGTATCTAAAACCGGGATCGATCCTCCAACCCAAAAACAGACCAGGTGACATGTTGGGCTCCAAAGTCCTTTTGGTGGGTGACTTCCTACGGTAATACACTAACTGACCAAAGCATAACCTCATGCCATCAAACTTATTCCTAGTAAGCGACTCACACTGGGTTTTGTCGGGGTCAGCTATTGAAGGCTTGTCGAATGACATTGAGAGGCAAGCATATGGATAGCTATATGTGTGGTACTCGTATGGAAGGCCAGATTGGAGGTGAATAGTGCGACAACATCCCTTTTCCTCTCGAACGTCTCTCTCGAGAATGGCATTGTGGGGCCATCTGTTTGGCAAAGAGGTTTCAGGAACCATGCCTACGGCATGTGCCGCCTGCTCAAGCTCGCCGGCTTCGTCCATTTTTATGAACGTTCGGGTGGTGAGCTCTGATCCACGCAGTCCTAAGAAATGCCTAAAGTTGCGAGCATGCGCGTCAGCAGTACGTTTGGACAGTGGGTATGCAACGCGCGCTCCAGAGTACGCATCGCGGATGACATGATGCGACCTTATTCCCCCTATACCTACACCCATGTGTTCGGACCCTTTAGCTAAGATAACATCATCCGTAGCTAGCTGCTCTAGCGGCTGTTTTGGGGGATCAACAAACTCATCGGCTTTGCCATCTTGACATGTGAAACCCTCATGGCGGTATCTTTTGCTATGTGGCACAAAGGACAGT